GTCCGTCTGCAAATAAAAATGTTTAAAAAAGAAAATATAATATATGAAAGGGCAAAGGAGAAAGCTGAGACCAGTTAGCAAACTACTATATCCAAATAAAAGATGGCAGGACTTTGTACCATGCTAGGACTGGTGAAGGTAGGGTTCACATAGCCTAAGACAGATCTGATATTAACTGGTTGTTATGGTTTAGAGGTAAGGTGTCCCCCAAAAGCTCATGTGTGAGACAATGCAAGGTTTGTAAGAGAAATGATTGGATTATGGGAGTCTTAATCCAAGCAGTGAATTAATCCCCTGATAAGGATTAACTGAGTGGCACCTGAAGTGGTAGGGTGTGGCTTTGGGGTATATATTTGTATCTGGTAAGTGGAGATATCTCTCTTTGCTTTATGATCAACATGTGAGCTGCTTCCCTCTGCCACATTCTTCTGCCATGAGCCCAAGGAATGGAGTCTGCTGTCTATGGATTGAGACCTCTGAAATTGTGAGACCATAAATAAACCTTTCCTCTTCCACAGTTGTTGTGGTGTGCTCCTTTAGTTGTAGCAGCAGGGAAAAAAAAAAAAATAAATGACTGAAACACTGGTTGTTGCACAGGGCAAGAAAAATTAGGATGATTTTTTCTAAATTATTTCTGACTTACTAACATAATTGATCAGGTAGCCAGTGTCAAAGATGGGAGTTCAGTTCCCACGTGGCTACAGTCTAACTCCTGATGTTCTCTGTCCCCCTCTGAACATATGGTACAGACCATAAGGGGACTGGGCAAGGTTAAGGGTAATACCACTTAACTATATCACACTGACTAAAATAACTGAAGGGAGTCCACAATCTTAATAAGAAGTTAGATATATAAGCAAACACTCAAATACCAATTAAAAAATAATTCTGTGAATTATTCAAATGCTTTTCACATATAACATCTGGGTCTTGAAATAGGGATTCTATTGTCAATAAATGTGCAAAACACTAGAGGGAAGTGAGTAAAGATAAGCTCAGTCTAGTGGGGAAAAAAACATGGAAACAGTGACATCATGGTGTTTAGAGAAATAAGTTGGGTTGTGCACAAGGAGTTGCAGAAACATGTCTAAAATCTCTTGGGAGGACATGAGGAAGAAAGGGAACCACTAGGGTGGGGTTCATGGAGGAGTTATGATTGGACCATAAAGATTGAGTGGACGTATTGAGTGCCTTACAGAATCAGGGACTGAAGACAAGGAAGAAGCATATTCTATACAGAAGGACTAGACTATGTAAAGGAATATGAGAACATAGTTCTTTTGAGAGATCACAAGCAATGGCTAGAATATAAAATATGGTCATACAATAACAATAATAGTACATATTTGATGAACACACACCATGTGTTACTGGCACTATCTTAAGCATGCATGTGGATCATCACATTTAATATTATAAGTATTATAATAATGAAAAAACTGACTTATACAGAGGTTAGGTAACTATCCCAAGGGACTCAGTGCTCATGAGGTAGATTCAGGCCTCATGTCCTAAGATTCTAGAACCTGTACTCTTTAACATGCAATGCTATAAGGAAGTGGAGGCAGATGAAAATACAAAGGTAGGCAGGAATCAAGTAATGGCTAGCATTACAAATCATGAAGAACCACTGAAGGGCTAGGGATATAGCTCAGTAGTAGAGTAGCTGACTAGCATGCATGAAGTCCTAGGTTCAATCTATGCACTGCCAAAAAAGAAAGAAACACTGAAGGGTTTCTATTTGTGAAGTGAAAGATGATCATATTTGCATTTGGAAATATCTCACTGGTGACAGTATGGAAGATGAATCAGAACAGACAAGAACTGAGAAAGATCATTTAGAAGGCTACTGCTATAATCCTGGCCAGACCATAGGAACCTGAACAAAAGCAGTGAGAAAGTAGATGAGCCAATGTCAGAAGAAAGAGGCAACAGAGAAGGAAGGGTGGGTTGGGGGATGGCTAGATGTGAATTCAGTTGAAAACACATTAAGGATGAGGCATCTGGGAGTCATCCAAGTCCAGAATTAGGCAGACCCACAATTCAGGAGCCCAAGAGATAGGAGGCAAAACCAGAGGTGCAGGTTACAGCAAATGTTTTTTTTTTTTTTCCCTGTGTGTGCACCAGGGAACCTGAGAGGATTCCATGATGGTATCATCTGAGGATCTTCCACAACCATTCCCAAATAACGATTCTTTGAAAGCTCACTCTTTTCCCCAGGATAGACTGCAAAATTCCAAAAGATACTTATAGAGAATCATCTAGGCTACCCTAAATCACAACACTAGTCTGAATACATCTTGGTGCTGCTACCACCTCAATCTAATTAATTCTCCCTACTTCAGGTCACCAGAAAAACTAGCTGATGGTATACTCTAGGGAGCCCCAGAGCAGTGGAACTCTACCCCAAACAACACAGGTAGCTCAAACTATGAATTCCTAAAAAAAAAAAAAAAAGGCTCTTTGGTTTAGCAAAGCATTAAAAACATGCCTTATTAACATTCTGAAAGCACTGGTTTGGCAGCAAGATAACATTTTTTTTTAAATTTTTTAGTTGTAGTTGGATCCAATACCTTTATTTTATTTATTTATTTTTATGTGGTGCTGAGGATCAAACCCAGGGCCTAGCACATGCCAGGCAAGCGATCTACCACTGAGCCACAACCCCAGCCCCCAAGATAACATTTTTAAGTATTTTTTTTATCACCAAATTTGTATTCAATTGGTTTTCTCATTTAAAATCAATGAAGCCAGGCACAGTGATATATGCCTACAGTCCCAAATACTTGGGGGCCTGAAATAGGAAGATTACCAAGTGTGAGGTCACCACCTTGAGCAACTTAGTGAGGCCCTGTCTCAAAATAAAAAATAAAAAGGGACTGGGGACATAGCTCAGAGGTAAAACACCCCACGGTTCAATCCCCAGTACCAAATATATAAAGAAAGAAAAGAATACCAGGCACAGTGGCACATGCCTATAATCCCAACAACTTGGGAGGCTGAGGCAGTAGGACTACAAGTTTGAGGTCAGCCACAGTCACTTAGAGAGACCCTCAGCAAATCAGCAAAACCCCCATCTCAAAAATAATAAAGTAGGGGTGGGGCTATAGTTCAGTGATAGAGTGCTTGCCTAGCACGTAAGGCACTGGGTTCAATCCTTAGCACCACATTTTAAAAAAAAAGATGGGCTGGGGTTGTGGCTCAGCGATAGAGCACTCATCTAGCACATGTGAGGCCCTGAGTTCAATCCTCAGCATCACATAAAAATAAATAAATAAAATAAAAGTATTGTATCCAAATACTTCTTAAAAATAAATATTTTTAAAAAGAATAAAATAAAAGTTAAAATTCTTTTTAAAAAATAAAATAACAAAGTAAAAGGACTAGTGACATAGTTCAGAGTAAAGCACTACTGGGTTCAATCCTCAGTACCAAAAAGTTAATGAAATGAATTAAATGAGTTTTCTCATTTAAAGTGAATTAATGAATGAATGAATTTCTAATCATTTGGGATTCTTGTAATGCCAACCCCATTTCCAAGCCTCAGCCATAGGTCTCTAGGAATACTGCTGAAAAAATCTACCAATAAATGAAGAAAATCATCATTAACAAATTTTATAAAACTTATTTTCACTACAACTTCCTTAAACCAAATATATGAAATGCAAGTTTGCTTACAGAATATTAAAGCATGAAATAGCAGCTCCATTTTTTCCACTTGTAATGTTTTCACACTCATTTTGCATAATACCTATCCTCTGAGGCTCTATAGAAACTGCCTCTGCCTATCCAATCTTATGTTCCCCTGTACCCTTAAAAAGTACTCTGAGGGGCTGGGGTTATAGCTCAGTGATAGAGCACTTGCCTTGCACATGTGAGGCACTGGGTTCGATCCTCAGCACCACATAAAAATTTAAAAAAAAAAAAAAATATATATATATATATATATATATATATATATATATATTTAGCAATCTCCAGAGAGAAAGCTCTAATGCAGCTTTCTCTGGGTTATCTTTTATTGCAATTTTTCTCATCACTATGGATTCAGAATATGTTATTGATTTTACAATTTCCAAATTTTGCCAAGATGTGACATTTCCTTAACAATCATTAGGGGCAGAGAAAAATGTGACATCAATTTACATTTTTCCAGGATGTGACATTTTCTTATTATTATGGGTACAAAATCATTGATAAAATATGTCACTTATTTGAATTTTTCAGATTTTTCCAAGATGTACTATTTTATTATTAATAGATGCAGTAAATATATTTTTTTAAAAAGTATTCTGAATAAAATGGTCAAATGAGGACAACAATCTGAGTCAAGATACCTGGTAGTTGGTATGAGAGATTAATTTAACATCTCTATATCTCTAGGCATTAAGTTACCCATATGTAAAATATATTTAGTAATTTATGCTCTACTGGGATGACTGCATAAGAAAATGGATATAAAAGTAATTCAAGAAACAATAAAACCAAGTTCCTACCAACTGCACTTGGAATCCTCACGTTCTAACTCTCTACTCAACCAAATTCTACCCCTTTGTGCCTGAAATGCATACTCACTTCTCTTAAAAACTATATCACCTTTCTCTTTTTTGATCATATAATTGGAACCACACTGCTCCCTTTGGAGTCTCTCCTGACTGTAAGAGAATGGGTTTGTTTCCTGACCTCCAACAACTGAAAGCTCCTCTAGAACAGAGACCATTCCTGGCCTTGGTGCTGCCCTCCATTCACATCAGGTAGCCCTCAGTCATGACTCCCTGACAACAAATGAGGCTTAAACAATATGTTCCCAGCTAAAAATGTACCATGTAGCCCATTTATAATTCCATATATTATACAGCACTGGTTCTAAACAGGTCACCCAAAATTGTGGCTGAATGATCCCAAAATAGGCATGACCCTGACTTTCCTGGACATCATATCACTTTCTGGATGTGAGCTGCTCCAAGCATACTGACTCTATTAGTCCTTGGGTGAGTTACCTGCACCACTGTTGCTAAGCAGGCTGACAGAAAGTTCTTCTGTTCCACTGAAGTTCAAGAAGGACAAGCCGTCACCAGGCTGGCGGGAAGTGCTGTGCCTGCAGAGAACAGAGCCCAGCCACCTGGCTTAATGAACATCATCAACTCTTTCTCCTGCTTACCCTATATCCCAGTGGGGATGTTAGGTAGAGAAGTCATGAAACAGGCCTGAAATTTAGCCCCAGAGACTGACAATCCTTGGGATCCATATCTCTAGCCATCAGGTGAAGATGCTTCATTGTGTGCCAGCTATGGCCTCCTCCCCTGGCACTCTGCCCACTTTCCCATAGCCATGTTAGACCACCAGACCTTTCTGTCTTCTGCCTCCCTCTGACTGACAAGGATGCATGTGAGAGGTTTGAATAGGTACACCAGGGTTAATGTGGTAAAGAGGCCCACACCCTGCCCTGAGCACTCAGCCAACCCACAAGATGTCAAGGTGACTAAAAGAGAGGCCAAAGAGGGCAGGGGTTTGCACTTGCCTAGCATGCACCAGGCCCTGTGTTTGATCCCTAGCACCAAAAAGTAGGGGTGGGGGTAGGRGCAAAGACCACTTTTTGCAAGTGTTTCCAAACAATACAGAAACAGTGAGTATAAGTATAACCTGGGCTCATGCTTGTCAAGTCTTAAATGACTTTCTTCCTACACTGACTATCTTTAGATGCCTTATAAACACATTCAGACTCTGGTTCAAAAAGACTTTTTCCATAAAAAAAATGAGGCCTTAATCTCATTTTTTTTCCCATTAACTTCTTTTAAACTCAACAGTGAAATTTCTTAGTGATCAAAATGACAAGTCACAGGGACACTGCCCAAAATGACAGCATATACCTGTCTCAGTACCCCAAATTCAAAGCCTTTTCTCTCTTGTTTGCATCCTTGACTAAGGTTTGAAAGACAGCTATCTTTAAGGTTTACAAAGTGCAACCTCAAAATGAACCTAAATCAGGGTCTAGGTAATACCACAGGCAAAAATGTCAAGCTGTTGGCTTTATATTTCATCCAGAAAGTGGCTGAAGAAGACCTCATATTACCTTTTCAAGTCTTATAAACATGATACTTTGTGAGTAGTCTGTTTTGCACATTATCCTGGGTGCCAAGAGTGTTCTGAGGTTACTTTCCAGAGCCCTGTGCACATTCTCACCTTCCAGCTGCTTCATGATATGCTAACTCCAACAGCTCTGCAGAGGAGTGAGTTGGATCCCTCTGCCCACTGCCCTGCAGCTCCGCCATATTCTGCCGGGTCTGATGATGGATCTGAATGGCCTCTCCAGATGGTCCTACCCAGACAAAGAACCACGAAGGATCATTCCCACCTGATGGTTAGTTCTATGTACTTAACGGCAATCTTCCTTCTTACCAACGAAAGGGATATAGGTATTAGGAAACTCAACAAAGGGCACACCACAAAAGAACATTATAAAAGGAATCCTCTGGTTCCCAGAAAGAACACCTCCCCCTCCAAGCAAGATTGGTGCTACTAAGGAACCTCATGTTTATCATCCTGCTTAATCTGTTAACATTTCAGAAGCCTCTGTCTCATGCATGCCAACAGAGATACAGAGAAATACAGAAGTACAGGAGAATTAACACAAACTAAATGAGAAGAAAACATGAATGAAACATCAAATGACTCTATTAATACTTAAGAAAATAACAAGTGATTCTAAGAAGCAGAAGATTCTGAAGTGCAAAAAAGAGCATGAGAGATCAGAATTAGCCAAATCTATTTAAATAAGCTTCCTAGAAACAGAGATTTTAGAGCTAAGTGTTAAACAAGATTAACAGGGGTTGAAGGAAAAGGGTAGGAGAGATGACATCAGAGTTTAGTTGGGAAAGGATAGTGTCTCTGAAGAGGAAAATAAGAAGACAGGAAGTTGAGGAGAGACGAAGTTGAGGAGCCTAGCAATGGAGGGCCTTAGCTATTAGAGAATCAGATGGAAAAGAGGATGAAAACAAAGTCAACATTGTTTGGAGATTGTTGTTTTAGTAACTGTGAAGGGTGCAAGGAGGAAAAAGCACAGAAGCTGGAAGAGTTGAGGGTCACAGAAGAAAGTTCTCTCAAGAGATCTCAAAGCAAACCAATGGGGAAAACATGGAGAGAAAAGACAGCAGAAAAACGCAAGTAGTCTCATTATCTCTTATTATCTTTTCTCTGCTATAAGAGGGCAGAAGAGGTTTGGGAATGACCTCCAATTTTAATCAAATTAACCAGATTTATTTCTCATTTTTTAAACTTTTAAACAGTAAAAGAAAGTGCAAAAAGAAAACAGATACTTCCAAGCATTCAGCAGGATGCTTTCCATTTAAAAAAAAAAAAAAAAAACTGGAGCATCAGACACGGTGGCGCAGGTTTATAATCCCTGCGGCTCAGGAGACTGAGGCAGGATGATCAAGAGTTCAAAGACAGCCTCAGCAATGGCGAGGTGCTAAGCAACTCAGTGGGACTCTGTCTCTAAATAAAATACAAAACAGAGCTAGGGATGTGGCTCAGTGGTCAAGTGTCACTGAGTTCAATCCCCGGTACCAAAAAAAAAAATATGGAGGTAATTCATGTTACTTCTTAACCCAGTAAGAGCTGATTAATCTGAAGTTTAATTTTAGTTACAGCTTTATAAAACCTTGCCATCATCTTCTTGACAACAGAAGACAGATCAAAAAGAATGTCCTCAACACCACATAAAAATAAATAAATAAAAGTATTTTTTTTAAAAAAAGAATGGCCTAGGGAAAAAATGGAATTTTTAAAAAATTTCTTCAAAGCTGGACACACTGGTACATGCCTGTAATTCCAGCAACTTGGAAGGGTAAGATAGGAGATGCAAGTTTGAGGACAGCCTCAGCAATGTGGCAAGGCTCTAAGGAATTTAGCAAGACCCTACCTCAAAATTTAGAAAAATAAAAAATAAATAAAAAGGATTGGGGATGTAACTCAATAGTAAAGCACCCCTGGGTTCAATCCCCAACACCAAATGTATATATATAATTATATATACACATACACACACACACACACACACACACACATATATGTATACACACACACACATATATCTTTTTTTCTTCAGTTATCAGAAACCTCTAAGAGAAGACATAATCTTATAACAAAGACAATAAGATCAATATACAGAGAGAACAAAGAGAAAAAAGAATGAAGAGACTTTAGGCCTTAGGAAAGAAAGTAGGTGGCAAAGCATAGTCCTTTTCAAATAGGGGGGAAAAAAAGAGTCCTTAGGTTAATATACCTAGTGAGGTACAAAGCCTATTCCCAAATACATCTTCAAGAATCCTCAAAAGAACCCCTGATATTGTCAAGTTTATCCCCATTACACTGGTGACAAATGTTCAGAAAAGTAGAAGCACTTAACAAAAGTCACATAGTCGATTAATATGGAAGAGTGGGGCGAAGAACTCCTAGTTCAAGGCACTTTCCTGTGCAACCAACTCACCCACAGGAAAAGTGTGCATCCAACGTCTTCTATTGGACGTGAGCTTCATAGGCATCCGTGAGGGGGCAAAGGGGTTAATCAGCGCTCTCTGAGGTGTGTATCCACCAGGTCGAACATGTAGCATGGACTCTGCACTGCCTACATGGAACCTCCCTGGTGCACTGGAGTCTCGCTGTGGTGGCTCCATCATGTTCTCCAGGACATCTGAAAGTTATCATGGAGTTGAGCCACAAAGACAAATTATAGAACCACAATGAAACCAAAACTAGGTGTACTAATAGCTGAGGTTGACAAGAATTTTAGACATCATAAATGTCAGAAAGTGACAGAAATGAGTAAAACTGCTAAAAAACATACACAAATTTAACATATTTAATTTTTTAAATACTTAGAAGAAGGGGGTTTTCACTCTTGAAATACTGGCCCAGTGAATTACAAACCCAAAGGGGAAAACCACGCATCACCTGGAGACCTTGGACTTTTACCTAGATACAATAACTAAATAATGGGACTTTAGTTGTTTCCATTAGGGACAGGTTGAGTATATTTTTCTTTGGGGACCACAGGAGGATACTAGGGATTGAACCCAACAGGACTTTACCACTGAGCTACATCCCCAGTCCTTTTTATTTGGAGAAAGAGTATCATCAAGTTGCTGAGGCTAGCCTCAAATTTGCAATCCTCTTGCCTCAGACTCCCAGGTTGCTGGGATTACAGGTGTGTGCCACCATACCTGATAGGATAAGTGTATTCTTTATGTGGAAGGAACAATAAAAATAAATATTTAAGCCAGGAATAGTGGTGCACACCTATAATCCCAGTGACTCAGAAGGCTGAGACAGGAGGATTGTCAGTTCAAGGCTAACCTTAGCAACTCTGCAAGACCCTGTTTCAAAATAAAAAACAAAAAGAAGTGCAAACATAGCTCAGTGGTAAAGCACTCTTGGTTTCAATTCCCAGTATAATCATTCAACAAATATAAATTATATATATATGTATAAAAATACATATATTCTGGTGAACCAGAAGGGCAGACCCTGGCAGAGTTAATAAATTGTTCACTAATCCCAAATGATTACAATTCCCTGTGCTTTTGCACTGAAGTTATATGAATTAGATCCTGCTAACAGAACAYGGGTAGAAATGACATATCTTCCAGGCCTGGTACACAATTATCTCCATGCATGATCTCCATTCTGAGTATGACACAATTATAGAACCAAATGGAAATAAGAAGAAAAACAGAGTAAAGGTTTTTCTTAAAAAATAGTATAATACACACATACCTAACACCTAATCTGATTAGCACCCATTGCATTGACATGGAAATAATTAAGATAAGGGATGTTTTACCCAATCTGACCACTCCCTGCCACTCTCAACGCCTACTATAATAAGGAAACTATCCCCAGCTTTACCCAGCTCTGCCTGTGCTTCAGCACTCTCACCTCGAGTGCTGGTGTAGCCCAAGGAGCTGCTGACTTCATACTGGTGCAGGTGGGGGTGTGGGATCATCAGGATGTTGGCACTTTTGCCCAGGGAGCTGTCGTCAGAAGCCTGGCTTCTTACTTCCTCAGTGGGTAGTGCACGGCTCGGAAGGGAAGGACTGGATGAGACATCACAAGAGCTGGCACTCTTGCGGTTGTGATTCTCCCGTTCCCGCACAGACCTGCCAGGTAAGAGAAAACTCACCACCAAGCAAGGGCTCCTATCTTATCTCAAGTTAAAACTCCAAAACCCATCACCTACTCAATGTACTTAAAGAAAGTATTTTCTACTCAAAGAAAACCCAATGTCATGGATCAGAGGTGTTGCCCTTAGCTGTCTGATATGTAGTATAAGAAAGGGGAGAGGTCTGGGGTTGTGGCTCAGCGGTAGAGCACCGGCCTAGCACGCGCGAGGCCCCAGGTTCGATCCTCAGCACCACGTAAAAATAAAGAAATAAAATAAAGGTATTGTGTTCATCTACAACTAAAAATTWAAAAAAAAAAAAGAAAGAAAGGGGAGACACAGATGCCAGTTTTCAAATAGCAGAAATCCAGGGATCACAATTGTAAAGAAGTGATTACTCCATTCTGACACCACTGATCAATCTCACATCACTAGAAGTGGAATAATAGGACAAGATGCCAGGTGATACAAGAAAAGATACACAGTGTCAGCTCAGAAATTTTCTTGTCTTACAAATGGAACCGAAATATAATCAAGCTTTTAAAGCTAACTGCCAGTTTACAAAAATTCAGAGAATAGAGGAAAAGTTAATATTATTTTTTAAAAATTAGCTAAATAAAAAAAGCAAAATGTTCTAATGTCACTAAAAGAGATATTATGACCAAATGAAATGTGTGGATCTTGGTTAGATCCTAATTTAAACAAACTAATTGCAAAAAAAAATTTTGGAGAAAACGGAGAAATCTGAATATGGACATGAAAGATTAAGGAATTGATATTAATTTTGATACTAAAGATAATGGTACTGTGAAAATATTTTCAAAAACTTCTTTATTAGGGATATGTACTGAAGTACATTCAGGTGGAGAAACAGGGCTGGTGTTTGTTTTAAAATACTCCAGTAAGCCAGGAACGGTGGTGTATGCCTATAATCCCAGAAGCTGGGGGCAGGAGATTACAAATTTGAGGTCAGTCTAAGGAAATTAGAGAAATCTGTCTCAAAATTAAAATGGCTGAGGACATGGCTCAATGATAGAGAACCCCTGCGTTCAATTCCCAATACCACCAAAAAAATTAAAACACACCAGTCAAAATTGTGGGGGAAAAATGACAAAACAAGATGGGCAACATGTCAATAATTGTTCACGATACTAGTCTATTTGGGCATGTTTGAATATTTTCTTAATTAAAACATTAAAAACAATATACTCATTAAAACATATAACTCCCTAAGGGAGATAAATCTCAAGAAACATAGAAAGATGAAAAGAAGAAAAAGAGAGAAGCCTAACAAGGAGGTGAACTCTTACAATTAAAGTATTATCTTACCAATAGGACTACCCACTTGGCATCAGAGCTGTTTCTTTCAGCCTGGAAGAATTTTGTCTTAAATCAGAGCTTAAACAGAGCCAAATTCTGACTACATGTTCATTGCTTCAAAAGTAAAATTTTTTTGGTACCAGGGATTGAACCCAGGGGTGCTCAACCACTGAACCACATCTCCAGTGCCGTCATACCCAGCTCAAAAGTAAAATATTTGAATACTAGTATATGTTTAGCCACATATGAGAGAGAGAACAATTAAAGCAGTCTGTAGCCAGGCACAGTGGCACATGCCTGTAATGCTAGTGGCTCCGGAGGCTACGGCAGGAGGATCACAATTGCAAAGCCAGCCTCAGCAACTTAGCAAGGCGCTAAGCAACTCGGTGAGAACCTGTCTCTAAATGAAACACAAAACTGGGTTAGGGATGACTCAGTAATTGAGTGCCCCTGAGTTCAATCCCCAGTACTCAAAAAAAAAAAAAAAAAAGGTTAGGGGTAAACCTAGCAGTTCAGGAGGCTGAAGCAGGAGGATGGTGAGTTAAAAAAAAAAGCCAGCCTTAGCAAAAAGCGAGGCTCTAAGCAATTCAATGAGATCCTGTCTCTAAATATAAAATGGGGCTGGGGTATGGCTCAGTGGTCAAACACCCCTGAGTTCAACTCCCAGTGCCAAAAGGGGCTATTTTTCTTTCTTCAAGTTCCTTAAATTTTGCTGCTATCTTTATTATTATCTTCTGCAAGCTTTTTTTTTTTAATTTTCTATTTGTTCTTTTTAGTTATAGATGACTATAGAATGTATTTTGACATATCAAACATATGGAAGCTTTGATTTTAATTTGGTCTTCTTTTTCTAGTTTCTTAGAATGAAAATTGAGGTTATTGACTTGAGACATTACTTTTTGTTCTCACATAGGCATTTAGTGCTATATATAAAGTTCCCTTAAACTGTTTTAACTGCATCATGCAAACTTTATGTTATATTTCTGTTTTCATTCAGTTAAAAAAAAAATTCTAATTTTACTTCAGACTTTCCCTTTTTTATATACTGGGGATAGATCCCAGCAGCATTCTATTATTGTGCTATATATCCCCAGTCTTTTTTGTTTTTTATTTTGAGACAGGATCTCATTGAGTTGCCCAGACTGACCTGGAACTTGCAATCATCTTGCCTCAGCCTCCAAGTTGCTGGAATTATACCTGTGTCCCATAGATTATTTAAAAGTGCACTTGGTTTCCTAATATTTGGGGATTTTCTAGTATCTTTCTGTTAAGAATTTCTGGTTTATTTCATTATGGATTAGAGAATAAGATACAGTATCATTTCAGTCCTTTTAATTTTTTAAAAATTTTTTTAGTTGTAGATGGACATAATACCTTTATTTTATTTATTTTTATGTGGTGCTGAGGATTGAATCCAGTACTTCATACGTGCAAGGCAAGCGTTCTGCCACTGAGCCACAATCCCAGCCATCAGTCCTTTTAATTTTAAGGTTTGGTTTATGGCCAGAATATTTCCTGTCTTATAAATGTTCCACATTTACCTGAGAAATGTGCATTCTGCTAGCTTACATTGGTATTTACAGTTACAATTAATGAAGCTTCTTATTATGGAACAGAAGGGAAAGTCATTGAATTTTTAAGATAAAAAAAATTATTTCTGAATTATGAGTTCTCTCAGGCTATGCCCACAGACTTCTGAGGTACTATTCACTGTTGCATAAAAAGTTTACAGGTACTTTCAAGCCTTAGGAAGAATTACCATTTTCACATTGTCACATATATAAGAATCATGGCAGAGACAGTTAATGCAGATTCCTGAGTTCTCTGCCTAGAAAATAATAGCTAGCATTTATTAGATACATTTTTCATGTATTATTTCATTTATGCTTTACAAACATACCTATAAGAGAGCACCATTTTACAAATGAAGAATGTGAAGTTACTTAGCTTATAAGTGAAAAAAAATCAGTATTGAAAAAAATCAGTATTGAAACCCACCTTTAGTAGGCACAATGGTACACACTTGTAATCTCAGAAATTTGGGGGTATGATGCAGGAGGATGAAAAGTTCAAGGCCCACTTCAGCAACTTAGTAAGACCCTAAGCAACTTAGCAAGACCCTGTCTCAAAATAAAAAAAAAATGAAAAGGTCTGGGGATATTTCTCAGTGGTTAAGCACTACTGGGTTCAATTCCTGGTACAAAAAAAAAAAAATCAAGCCTATATAGCTGAGTGTAGTGGTACACCCTGTAGACCCAGCTATTTGGGAGGCTGAAACAGGAGCATTGCCTGAGTCCAGCAGTCTGAAATCAGCCTGGGCAACAGAGTGAGACCTCATCTCAAACAATTAAAATTAGGGTTGGGATTATAGCTCAGTGGTAGAGTGCTTGCCTCTGCACACATGAAACACTGGATTTGATCCTCAGCACCACAAAAAAATAAAGTATCCATTTACAACTAAAACAAAGAAGTTTTTTAAAAAATAATTCTTTTTAATTTTTTTGTTTTAGTTGTTGATGAACCTTTATTTATTTATTAATTTATATGTGGTGTTGAGAATCGAACCCAGTGCCTCACCCATGCTAGGCAAGTGCTCTACCACTGAGCCACAACCTCAGCCCAGTTATTAAAAAAATATTTTTAAGCAAAATAATAAAGACTCAACCGGGCATGATGACAAACACCCATAATCCCAACTACTCAGGAGTCTGAGGCAGGAGGATCACAAGTCCAAGGCCCACCTGGGCAACTTAGTAACATGCTGTCTCAAAATACAATAAACAAAGATCAGGAATGTAGCTCAATGAAACAGCACTTGCCTAGTATGTACAAGGCCATGCATTCAATCCCCAGTACTGTTTWAAAAAATAACTTTTAATATAAAGACTCTGAAGAAAAGCCCCTGTCTCTAAAAAAAGCATTCACTTGTAGCAAAGCTGTTTGTCAAACTTATCTTGAGCTATAAACATTCTCAGGAATAGATATTACAATGGGATGAAGGAAAAGAATAAAAAGCAATCATGTGGTCATAATAAACTCATTTGCCTCCAAAATCAAGAGACATAATATCCTTCTAATCAGCTGTGCTTAAATTTGCAGATTTAAGATACCTGAGCTAGGAATAGAGGTGCATGCCTGTATAATCCCAGCTTCTCAGGAGACCAAGGTAGGAGAATCTCAAGTTGAGGCCCACCTTGGCAACCTAGCAAGACCCTGTCTCAAAATTTTAAAAAATATGGACAGGAATGTAGCTCAGTGCCAGAGGGCTTGCTTCACATGCTCAAGGTCCTAGTTTGAGCTCCAGTACCAAAAAAAAAAAAAAAAAAAAGAGTAAGGGGAAGGGGAGAAGGAAGAGGGGGAAAAAAGAAAGAAATCTGAAAAATAAACTGGTATGATCTGGTCAAATGGGGACAAAAAATAAGCTAGATTTCTATTTTATACATTCACTTTAAAAATCTACATAAAGAACTAAAATAAGCATAAAATACAAGACTATCAAGTATATGAAGAAAATACAAAATACATATCTATAATTTGGGGTAAATAGGCTTTATACAAGATCAAAGTTGTTGTATCTAGCTCTATCACAATCAGAAACTGCTATATAACCAAACACCACAGAAAAAATATAATTCATGTGTTCTTGCAATAATAAACTTATAATAATCTGGGCCCAGGAATATATCTTAGTGCCAGGCCAGTAAGACGATCATTCTGGGATTTATGAATGTTTGCTTTTGATTAGAAAAAGCCTAAGGTGGGGGTGGGGCTGGGGTTGCCGCTTGGCGGTAGAGCACTCGCTTAACACATGCAAGGCACTGGGTTCGATCCTCAGCACCACATAAAAATAAAATAAAGGTATTGTGTCCAAGTACAGCTTAAAAAAAAATATTAAAAAAAGCCTAAGTACCTTCTTATTTTAAGACATTACTTCATGGCAAACAAAATGGCTAGGCCAAAGAACTGGAAAACCAAATCCCTAATGATCTRCCTGGCACAGCTTCTATTTGGCTAATTTTATTTTATTTTTTTTTAAGAGAATTTTTTTTTAATATTTATTTTTTTTTTTAGTTTTCGGTGGACACAACATCTTTGTTTGTATGTGGTGCTGAGGATCGAACCCGGCCGCACGCATGACAGGCAAGCGCTCTACCCCTTGAGCATCACATCCCCAGCCCCTATTTGGCTAATTTTAATTAAAACATTTTCAAGGTTGCTCTCACAAAGGTCCCTATTAGACCTCAGGTTTTCCTAAATAACTTTTATATAAACCCCAAGTCAATCAGCTGAAAACCTGCAGGTGGCGAGGCGCTGAGCCCGGGATGGGCCAGGCAGCCTGAACACTTGAGCATCGTAGGCATCATAATCTACTTGGATTGGAAGGGCATTCTCAGATTCTTTTGGAGTCCCAAGAGCTGAAATACACAAATAGTACAAACTGTCACCCAAAGACATTTCACACATTTCTTCACCAACATCTGTGAGACACTAGGTTCATCATCTACCTCTGAGAAAATGGAGATAATAACCCATTGATAAGGTTGTTAAGATGAAATGACTTTTAAGTTAAAGAACAAAGAAATAGTACAGAACTAAACAAAGGCAACTTATTGGTAGCATTTCATTCCTATGTGATCCCCGTTAAAAAAACATCATCCAGGGCTGGGGTTGTGGCTCAGTGGTAGAGCACTTGCCTAGCATGTATGAGGTTCGATCTGGGTTCGATCCTCAGCACCACAAAGAAATATATAAGCAAAATAAAAATATTGTGTCCATCTACAACTAAAAACAATTATTTTTTAAAAACTACATATCATCTTATATGTTTAATGCTTTAAAACTTTCTACCTGATCTCTACAATTGACCTGTGGAAAACAAAAAAAGATTTGGTCATCATCCAACTTGCAATTGACATGACAAAAATACAAGGTGGCTAAGAGGTGACACAAAGGGAATTCAGGTCTCCCAACTGCTCAGTGAATTTTCTTAAGCAATTTCATATAATTTTGTCACCATGGGTTAGCTCTTTCTAAAAGTGATGAAAGAAGGTCTCAAAAAATGTCAAAGGACTTAAAATCAGCATACTACAGTAATACAGCCACATCAAAGTTTACAGCAGCTCAATTCACAATAGCTTAACTATGGAACCAACTTAGATGTCCTTCAAGAGATGAATGGATTTAAAAAATGTGGTATGTATACTCAATGGAATATTACTCAGCTTTAAAGAAGAGTGAAATTATGGCATTTGTTAATAAATGGTTGGAGTTGGAGAATATCATGCTAAGCGAAATAAGCCAATCCCACAAAACCAAAGGCCAAATGTTTTCTCTAATATGTAGATGCTAATTCACAATAAGGCACTAGAGAAGAATACTGTTACCTTAGATTAGGTAGAGGGGAGTGATGGGAGGAGAGGGAAGGGGATTGGGGATAGGAAAGATAGTAGAATTAAATAGACATTATTACTTTATGTATGTATGTGACTGCATGACCAATATGATTCTGCAACAGGTACACTCAGGAAAATGAGAAATTATATCCCATCTATGTATGACATATCAAAGTGCATAAATGCATTMTACTGACATGTATAACTAATTAAAACAAATTTAAAAATTAATAAAAAATACTCACATGTATCACGTCCATTTTTTGCTTTTTCAGAGGCAGGCTATAAAATTGAAAAGATTTAATCACTCTCCTATGCCAGAATAGAACATCTCACAAAGTATAGTATATATGTGGCTGCTCCCCAGGGCAAAGACAATGTCTCAACCCTTCCTATAACTGATGGGAAGGCAGGAAGCTAAGATCTGACACCCACCTTACACCGCATCAGACCTTTCAAGATCCTTTACTTCCCACCTCAAATCTGATTAATTCTTACCACCCCAACCACTGGTGGAACTGGTGAGTATACTCAATTCTATAAAGAATAAGGAATTTGGGCTGGAGTTGTGACTCAATGGTACAGCCTTGCCTAGCATGCGTGAGGCAATGGGTTCGATCCCCAGCACTATATTTTTTAAAAAATAAACAAAATAAAAGTATAAAAAAATTTTAAAAAAAAAGAAGAAAAAGGAATTTGCCAAAGTCATACAATCAGCAGGTGGTAGAGTCAAAATACAAACCCAAATTTTCAGACTTATGTTCAGTCCACTGCTATATTTGTTCTACCTTGGCTAGGTCCCACCTTGAACCCTGCATGCTTCCCCTCCTCCATGACACCATCACCTGTCTGTCTACACCTACCAGAGCAGAGCACTCCAAACATTGTCCAATTTGCTGAAATGGAGTACAAAGGTGGAGGAGAAAAACTGATAGCATTATCACTTTTATTGTTTGTTTGGGAGTAATGGGGATTGACCCCAGGACCTGTGCATGCTACACATGGGCTCTACCACTGATTTACATACCCACTCCCTGCCTTATTATATGTTTATCTAATACAGAAAGTTATAACATTCTTTTTTGTTTTTCTCCTGCATTACTAAGGATAGAACTTAGGCTCACACATGATAGGCAAGTGATCTACCAATGAACTATATCCCCAGTCCTTTTTGTAAATTTTGAGACAGGGTCTTGCTATGTTGCCCAGGCTGACCTTCAACTTGTAATCCTCCTGCCTCTGCCTCAAGAGTAGGAAGGCTGACAAGTGTGTGCTACCACACCCATTCAAAAATTGTATAATTCTAAGGTAAATTTCTTATGCCCTATTTATGACCATGTGGAAAGATGAAGGTACCCCAGAATCATATATTATAATTACATTGATGTGTGACAGTTCCCAAAGGTTCTGTGGGTTTGATGATACCTACCTTCTTTCCGGCCAGTTTAATTCGTGGGGTGAAACTGTTACAAAAAAGCTGGCTTTTGGATGTGTAGAAACTATTTAAAAAAAAAAAAAAAAGTAAACAGGGTCATTAATCAAAACCTTAAGACACAGCTATAATCCTAAGCATGGACCTGCCCTCCCATGATTGGCACTGTTTTTAGGCTTCAATGAGCTTTCATATTCTAACTTCTTTTGCAATCACTATAAAACACTAATTATGTTTTTAATTATTCTATTCCTTTTTTCCCATAAGTTGTTTCATGTGTGCTAATCCTATATGCTAACTATAATTGGATCAGAATTTCCTCCTTGTGGCAGGGATTAAATCTATTTACCCCGTGATACTTTTCACCTTGATTTTTGCCATGGGTTGGGCACAAGAGAGGTTCTTATCACTCACTCATAGATCAGCATTTAATAAGCATGAAAAAGCCAGACAAGAAAGGGAAAGGATTAGTACTCAAGAAAAAGATGGCAGAAACCATCAAATCTTAATCCCTCTGAAAATAATCTTAATACAGTAATGTCTAAGCTCACAAAAAAATAAAAACCAGTTTTGCACTGGGTACACTGAATGAATGAATGAATGAATGAAGGCTATAAAGCCTTTCTATTCCCCAGGCATCTCTTGTATTCTCTTCCATCATTAACTTTTAAATGAGATTTGGAATGGTGACCAATCCACACCTTCCATCAAATCTCTGCAAAAATAAAAAATATTAAAAGGCACAATGTTGGCAAATAATCAGTAGACCATGGGGCAATCCTARTGACATATTAAATACAAGAACATAAGAATGTTACCTGTCATCAGACATAGGGATTACACCCCTGTGATTTATCTGTCCCAGTGGTATCAAGGAAAGTACCAAGTAGAGTCTGCTACTCTCTTCCTAGACACTAATTATAAAAGATCTGAGTGATAAAGTGATGTCAGCCAGAAGAATGGGTTTCTATTAAACTGAACCATATGAAATTGAAATTTCTGAGGGTCAGTCTAATATGATTTCAAATGACTGAAAGTAACAGCTACAACTTTGTCATGGACACCCTGTTCAACCCCAGGCAAGGCACTTAACCTCTCTAGAACTCAGCTTTCATTACTATATAATGTGACTTAATGAATGGTCTACAGGATCTCCCAGATAGAGTCCCATTATATCCTGTCATATCCTCTACATCCCACTTGTATAATTCTTATATATATGATATTAATTCACTCTGTGGATCAATTTTCATCATTAGTCTGAAATACTTCAGGGGTACTATGGTCTTACTTAAGAAAATGTGATCAAGTTTACTAAGGCCTCTGGCCTTATCTAGTGGAAACATGTTGCCCACTTACTTCTGAAGACGCTTTGCTGAAAGAAGAAAACAAATGGCTCCTATAAGCAGTGTCCATCTTTGTACCCTTGTTCCCATCACCAAATGGCTTGGGCAAACAGGATTAACAGTGAAATGAGAAAAGCAGGTCTTRAGCTACCCCCTACCACTGCCCCGGTGAAGCTCCCAACATGCAAATCCATGCTGTATCATTAGCTGGCAGTAGAAAACCAATTTAGTATGATAAATAAAGTGATAATTCAGGAAACATTCAAGATACCATTAAGTAAAACTTGAGAAAATTACAAAACTTCAATTCATATAAAATTTTGTGAATTTTATAACTAAATTCAAAACCATGAACTACAATGTATAATTAAACAGTAACTTTTTTTTTAACTGAGAAATAAATCTGAAAGGCTATTAAAAAGTTCAATTAATTGCCCATTCCTGTAATCCCAGCAACTCAAAGGCTGAGGCAAGAGAATCTCAAGTGCAAGGTCAACTTGGGCAAGTTAGCAACACCCTGTCTCAAAATGGAAACTAAAAAGGATAGGAATGTAGCTCAGTGGCAGAACACCTCTTGGTTTAATTCCCAATACCAAAAAAAAAAAAAAAAAAAGTATAATGGGAACTTGGGGTTGAGCTCAGTGGTAGAGCACTTGCCTATAGCATGCACATGTTTACTGCAAAGAAAAAAAAAATGTTATCACATCATCTTATAAAACTAATCCTACCTTGCTCATTCCTAATTCCTCACCTATGAATAATTACAACAACCACCATACTAATGGCAACATAGCCTAAAAGAAAGATAATGGATAAACATAATAAGGCTAAACTCAACATTTATGATGAGTTTTCAAGCTGGTTTCCAGTAAAGATTTGAAACTAAATAAAACCAAAATGTAAAGTTCTATTGAGCTTGATATGTAAGTCAAGCAGTCTGTCCTTCATGAGTCTCAGCATAAAAAAGACAACAGACAAAGGTAGAATGCTCCGGAAGTAATGAAAAAAAAAGCAGCTATTGGCTATCAGGAGCAGTTCAGAAAAGACTCAAGAGAAGAGATATGTTCGAGCTGGGCCTCAGAGGATGAACAGACATTTGCAAAAGAAGGACAGGCAGACAGTCCTTCTAGGCAGGAAGACCCAGAAGAAGTAACAGTGAGGTATATCTGCCATATAGAATGAAAGAGGGCAAGTACTAGGACAGGAAGTCTCACAGATGTCAAAAGCTCTAGTCTTTATCAAGCTGGCATGAGAAATTAAAAGAGAAAAGGCAGGGCTGGGGATGTGGCTCAAGCGGTAGTGCACTCACCTGGCATGCGCGGGGCACTGGGTTTGATCCTCAGCACCACATAAAAATAAAAATGTTGTGTTCACCGAAAACTAAAAAATGTTAAAAATATTCT